TAAATAAAATAAAAAAAATAAAAATAAAAAGAGATGATTTAACAGCCTTTGAGAATTACAATTCTACAAAGCTAGAGAACTTACCTTAAACTTTATCCTGGAGTCAAACCAAGCTAAGTTGCTACATTACTACTCAACAAGGAGAAATTCTTTCACCTTGTGGTATTATCCTATGAATACAATGTTCTAAAGCTGTAACTCGAAAGCTTTTTAATTTCAACACATAATTTCAGTTTGGAAGATATGTGCAAATAAGACCACCCTTTCATAGGAAAATAATACAAGTATTTAAGCAGAAGTCCTGCCTCTGGTCTGTAAGTTGCACAAGGTGGTTTCCTCTAGAAACACAAATCCTACCAACCAGCCCTCAGATTGCCAAAGAAGATGCGGCGAGAACCCAATTTTTTTGTCCTAGACTCCCCTAACTAGAAGCTCACCCAATCGGGTATTATCTTACAGCATCACAGAATAACTAGAAATAATTAGGACACTCTGCAGCCCTAGAAAATGCCACAAACTTAAAACTTAAATCATGCTCAGGTCAACTGAGCTTTTGAAAATAATCTGTCCTTTTCTTAAAGTCATGATTTGTATCAGGGCCACACGATGAGACTCAGTCAAAGAGAACACTAGACTAAGGCCCTGGGAAACTCATTTCCCAAGTCATTAGGGGTAAACAGGCCATCATGATTTCATTTGAAAGTATTAATGTAGGGGCACCTGGGGGGGGCGCTCAGCCGGTGACGTGTCTGTCTGCCTTGGGCTCAGGTCGTGCTCCGGGGTCCTGGGACCTGCCTCTCCCTCTGCTTCTTCCCCCACCCCCACTTGTGCTTTCTTGCCTTCTCTCTCCCTCTCTGTCAAATAAATAAATTAATTTTTTTAATTAAGTGTTAATGTAAACAGGAAGCTGCAAATATGTGATTGCAACGTAAAGTTACTCTTTGGGCTACTTTGCCAAACTGCCCGCCATGTCGGTGCTGTGGCCACCAGGCCCATGTGGCTACTTAGATATAATTCACACTAAATAATTGTTTAAAGACCAGTTGTTCATCCCAGCAGCCGTATCTCAAATGCTGTACCTGCAGGTAGCCGGTGGCCACCATAGGGGAAGGCTGGTGGCCACCACAGGGGACAAGACGGACACAGCACAGTTCTGTAACAGCCAGACACGTGTGTAACACACGGTATCTACCATACAGACAGGCAGATTCAAGTCCTCCGACCTTCCATGGGGCACCACACAATACCTCGTGGTTTTGTGGGCAGTTTTGTTTGTTTTTATTCACCATTTCGATAGCAGGCACAAACAGGAATTTTTGTAAAGCTACATCTAAAAGAAGCAGTGAACAACGCTTTGAGAGTTGGCTAACTCATAAAGACATTTCTGAATACAGGCTCTGCTTACATACAATGGCTTCGCAAAATAAAAGTAATGAAAAAACATAGCTGGTATCATTTTGAATAGTTGAGAAATTTTCTTTGCAATAATTATCTCTCTCTATCTGATAATCAAATACAGTGAGGAAGGCTCAACTAAAAAGCCATACTCAACCTACAAACGATGCTTTCTGCGATGAGGAAAATACGGTGTCAAGTAGGAGAAGTTAATCAGTTTCTTCTTACCAAGTGGAAGAAATATCAGAGAATCAGAGATGCTTTGGTGGGTATCTGAAAATGGGTGTTAATTATCACTCCCGCTCGGCCACACCCTATCATTACCTCTGCCCTGATACTCAGCTGTTTGCCTACTTATTTTTAGTTAGCCTACTAAAATGCACCTTCCCCCTATGGTTTTGGGTCCAATTATCACTTCATGTCCCACATGAAAATCACTTACTTCTCTACCATTTGGTGAGAAAATACAGAGACACCATTTATTTGCACATTTTTAATATAATGCTGTCTAAACAGCAAGCTGTTGTCTTTAGAATGCCTAGAAAAGCAAATCAAGGAATGTGCTTAGTGCCAGAGAACCGCACAAGTAAAAATGGTTAAAATGGAAACTTTTGTTATGTACATTTAACCACAAGAACAAGAAAAAAAAAGCACACCAAGACAACTGTCTACATGCTGAGACAATCCATTTTTTCAGAGGAAGCACACGGCTTTTCCCAATAAATTGGCTAGAATTTTTCAAAGTAAGAAAATATGAAACTTCCCTCAACGTTAAAATTAAAATCCAGGTATAATGGGGCGCCTAGGTGGCTCAGTGGGTTAAAGCCTCTGCCTTGGCTCAGGTCCTGATCCCAAGGTCCTGGGATTGAGCCCCACATCAGGCTCTCTGCTCTGCAGGGAGCCTGCTTCCTCCTCTCTCTCTCTCTCTCTCTCTGCCTGCCTCTCTGCCAACTTGTGATCTCTGTCTGTCAAATAAATAAATAAAATCTTAAAAAAAAAAAACCCAAGTATATTAAAAGCCAAAGATGAGAAATATATTTAAGAAAATGGGTTTATTTTCCAGTACCCAAGAAACGACAGGATAAAGACACACCTAATACAATGGCACTAAATGAAAACTTGCCTCCCGTTTGTAGGGACCCCAGGCATAAGAAGCTATGGTTTCACCAGGATTGCAAATCCCACACAAGCTGGACGCGGTACTGAGTGCTTCAGGACTAGCAACCCTAATCCTCCGACCCCCTCTAAGACCTCCATAGGATCCTAATCCCCATTTTACAGATGCTGAACCTGAGACAAATCACTTTTTAAAAGAAGATGGTTCTTGGGGCGCCTGGGTGGCTTAGTGGGTTAAAGCCTCTGCCTTCGGCTTGGGTCGTGATCCCAGGGTTCTGGGATCAAGCCCCGCACTGGGCTCTCTGCTCAGCAGGGAGCCTGCTTCCTCCTATCTCTCTGCCTGCCTCTCTGCCTACTTGTGATCTCCGTCTGTCAAATAAATAAGTAAAATCTTTTTTAAAAAATAAAATAAGATGGTTCTGGTCACAAAAGTCGTAGCTGAAGTAGTGAGGTCCTGGCAGCTTCTGGCTTCAGCGCTGCCCCCCACACTGGGGAGTCCGTGCTGAGGGCGATCAGAAGAACCATAACACTCACTAACACAGAGTCTCCAGAGCAACATAACCTTTCATAGATTCGGATCATCTGGTATATAGCAGGGACAAGGAAAACTCTCCTAAGTTTTAAGAAAGCCCAAAAGATATCTTGACATGAAACCATCCTTAAGATATCCCATTGCAACAACCAACACTTATCTTGCTCCTATTTTTAGGAAAATTCAGAGACAACCTGCAAAAGCCATTTCAAGAGAAAGAAATATTAAAAAGGGGGGGAGGGAAGAAATGTAAATCGAAGGGATAAATATTTCAATAGCAAACTCCTTCACCTTCTTCCATGGTCCATATTCTAATACGTGGCATTTGCATCACAAACCTGACTTTGTAACCAGGTATTAAACTAAAACAGGATGCAGACCGCTCAACACTTTCCAATTCCTTGAATCCTGGCAGGACAAAATGCCCCAAACCATCAAAACTCAACAATGAATCCCGATAAACTAAGTTTGCTGACTGTGAACATTTAGGATGCCCTCCCAAGACTTTGCGGGAGGGGTGAGGGTGGTGAACCCGGACGACGACGACCACTTTCTACTCTGTACCTGTAACTGCAAGTGAACACGATCTGTCCTCACTCCTTTCTACAGATGGGGTAATGCGGTAAAAGTTGCTAGCTTCTTTGTCTCAACACACGAAGCCATAAGGAAACAGCAAGGGCCACAAAATGACCCCGGTCCGGGGGAGAGGCGCGAGCACAACTTGGGGGGGGGGGCAGGGGACACAGGCACGAGCCCCCAGCCCAGCCCCCCCTCCCACTCCCACCGCGGGAGCTGAAGGAAAGCACCACTTCACTCCAGCGTCTGCCCTGGGGGGCCAGAGCCTGGGGCGGGGGGTGGGGGGGCCAGCCTTCAGGAGCGGGGACTCGGAGGGTTGGCTGGGGGAGACCGGAGGCTCTAGGATTGGAGGCCAGGTTCAGAGGATTCAGCGGGTTGGGGAGTCGGGGGGGTCTCGTGGGGCCAGAGGCTGGGGGCCAGGAGGTCCAGGGGGCTCGTAGGGGGGCGACTCGGGGGTGCCGGAGATCAGACTCGGGGGGGGGCGGGGCGGGAGGATTCGGGGGATTCAGGGGGCCGGGTACTCCGAGGGGTGGGTGGACAAGGGGTACGGGGAGGGCCGGTGGTTCGTGGGGGTTTGGGGGGTTTGGGGGATTCATGGGGCCGGGGAGTCGAGGGGGAACAGGGGAGACCAGGGGTTCGTGGGGGGTTGGGGGGGTTCGGGGATTCATGGATCCGGGGACTCGGGAGGGGGAACGGGCGGGCCAGGGGTTCGTGGAGGGCTGGGGGTTTCGGGGGATTCACGGGGCCGGGGACTCGGGGGAGGGGAGTGGGGGTTCGTGGAGGATGGGGGCTCCGTGGGTTCGGGGGTATTTTGAGGGCGGGGCAGCGGGGTGGGGCGGCTGGGGAGGGTTCGGGGGATTCCGGGGCCGGGGACTCGGGGGGGGGGGGGGGGGCGGGGGGGTCGTGGGGGGGGGGGGGGGGCTCAATAGGACTGGGGGGATTCGCGGGGCTCGGGGGGGGGGGCCGTGGACCGAAGGCGCCGCGGGCACTCAGGTCTCCCGCGACACGACACTCGGGCTGCCATCGCACACCGAGAGCGAAACCCAACCAAAACTAAGGCAAGGGCAAGTTTGATGCCTGTTTCACTCCCACAAAAAGTTTTTTAAAAAGACAAAGCAACCGAGACTCCGGGCCCTGTTCTCGACGCTCAAGGAGCGCACCAAGTGAGGACCCCGGCGGAGATCGGAGTAAACTTTCGGCGGCTGCTTGCCCGCGGCTCACCACCGGCTAGGGGCCGAGGGCTGGGGACTGCGCCGGGGGGTGAGGGGGGCCGAGGGTGGGGGCTGGGCCGGGGACCGCGGCCTGGGGACCCGGAGCCGGGCCGCGCCGCCCGCAGCCCGGCTCGGCTCCCGCGCCCTTCCGCGCCCGCCCGCACGCTTACCGGCATCATCTTGGAACCGAACCGCATGGGAGCCGCGGCCCGGGCCGAGCGGGGCGCCCGGGTCTCGGGAGCAGGGGGCGGCGGCGCAGGGCGAGGCTCCCGAAAGGCCGCCAACCTGTTGCGAGGCGGCCGCTGCGTGGGCGGTCCGCCGAGCCCTCCCCGCGGGCGGGGGCGCCACGGAGCCCCGGGCCCACCCCCAGCGGCCCCGACGCGGCTTTGTCTCCTCCGCGCCCACGACGGCCCGCGAGCCCTCTGCGCTCCGCCCCCCGCGCGCGGCGGTGGGGGCGGGGCGGGGCCGGGAGCGCGCCTGCGCGGGCGGGACCGGGAACGCGCCTGCGCGGGCCAGGCTGGGGTGGCTGGCTCGGCGGCCGGCTGGGCGCGGGTTCGCAGCCTCCGCCTTCATCCCTCTGCCCGTCGCCCAGGTTCCATGGGAAAACTCTTGTCTGACTCGCTTTCACTAAGTAAAGGAATACACTAAAAATTACTTCAATGGTAGAGCGTACATATTTTTGCTGTAGTCAATAAACAAGCCTCCAAAACGGTTTAAAGTGTGCCGAGCAGCCTTGTAAGGAACCGCTTTTCTGCGGCTCTAGCCGGTCCGGCCCTCCGCCTGTAGCGGGGCGCGCTTCCCCAGCCCCGTGGCGGGCGCGCGCTGGGGGAGGGGCGGCGCGGCCTAGCTGAAGCCGGGGTCGGACGGACAGCCCCTGAGGAGGATGGGCACTCCAGTGGGGGAACAGCTCCCGTGCGGGGCAGCCCCCGAGGTGGGGCTCCGGGGAAGAGCTGGGGGAGCCCCTGTGGTGGGGACCTCCGATGAGGAGCTGGGGGAGCCTCCGTGGTGGGGACCTACGAGGAAGAGCTGGGGGGCAGCCCCGTGGTGGGGGGCTCCGGGGAAGAGCTGGGGGCAACCCTCGTGGTGGGGGGCTCCGGGGAAGAGCTGGGGGCAGCCCCCGTGGTGGGGGGCTCCGGGGAAGAGCTGGGGGCAGCCCCTGTGGTGAGGGGCTCCGGGGAAGAGCTGTGGAGCAGCCCCCGAGTCGCGGGAGCTCCAGTGGGGGGTCCTCCCGAAGTGCCTCCTCCGCAGCGAGGCTGAGAAGTGAGGCCAGCGAGGAGAGCACCTGCCGGTGCCCAGCTCCAGGACTGGCAACTCTTTCTGGGTCCGGCACCCCCCTTCCCAGATATCCCTAAACCCCGTGTCGCGCACCACCCCCCCTTTATACCGGAAATAGTGAAGAGCACCTGACTCCATTAGAATGTAAACGTCTCCAAACCTGCTGTGTGAAGTCTAGGTAGGTTGGGCGGACCGTCGTCCAGAGTTAAGCAAAGCGGCTCTGTCGCTGCGTTGGTTCAGTGCTCATCCATCGCCTGCCGCCTGTTCTGAGCGCTGCCGTACGCAGATGCACAGAACAAATATTGGATGAGCGGTGAAACCAATAGCGAAGTGTATCAATAATCAATGATTACACAAATTACCAGTACGGTCCTAAGGACAAGATTGAAGGAGGTCGGGGGAAGAGCCTGCAGGTACAACTCTTAAGAGGGTGGTCCAGGAGCACCCCCCAGGACAGAAGGCTTCCAGGCGGAGGCACTGGCCAGTGCGAAGGCCTCCGGGCAGCCTGTCTGCGTCGGTTGGGAGGGGGGGTGTGCCAGACAGCTGCAGAGACCGTAAGGGGCCGGCGGAGTGACACCCCCACCCCCCACTCCGGACTTGAGGGCTCAGTGGAGAGCCCTGGGAAGGTCTGTAGCACACGATCTAACTCTTATTTCACTGGGATCACGCTGGTGGCTGTGCGAACCGTTGGACTTAGGAGAAGATGTAGGAAGCTCTTGCAGTCGTCCAGGCCAAACATGGGAGTGGCTTGGGCAGTGGCCTGGTAGTGCGGGTGCTTAGCTTTGGGATGCGTTTTGAAGAATTCCCTGACAGGTTAGCTATGGATATGAGAGAAAGAAGTCAAGGGTAAGTCCAAGATGTTTGCCCCGGAGGATGAAGCTGCCAGCAGCTGGGGCAGAAGACAGCAAGCGGGGCATCCCATCCCACAAGGATCCTCGTTGGCAACTGGCAGCTCATAAACGGACCCTTGAGCACTTAAAAAAAAAAAAAAACTGGCCTCATATACATGGGTTTTCATTCTTTCTTTGCACAGAAAGAAATCTCAGCAACAACCTAAGATATCACTATCCACCTTCATCTAGAAAAAGAATTCTGGGCATCAGTCACTAAACTTCCCGTTCTCAATAGAGAACACGTCTCTTTACCACCCAGAAGCTGGTCACATGCTAGAGTACCTTACATTTCATATGAGCACCGGCAGCCCCCGGCTTATTCATAAAACGATCACAATGGAAATAGAGGCAAGGACAGAAGACCTGGAGTAAAATGGCCCGGTTCTGTTTCTATACTGCCTGGGGGACAGATAAGCCACATAACCGCAAGCTGGGTGGGGTGCCCCAAGGGGAGCTTGTACCCGGGGCACAGTACTTCTCCTCATCTGTTGGGCTGGAGTCCAGTGTTTGAGTTCCCAACAGCCTCCCCTCCCAGTTACCCCCTTTCCCATTTCCCTCAGCGGTCTGACCCCAGCCAGCCTCTCTCCTATCTCCTCCCCGAAGGTGAACCCCCATCTCCCTTGGACACTTTTCCCCCTTACCCTACTTCTACTCATGTGTCAAGTGCCCACCTCAATGGAAGGCTCTGGAAGTCAGGTTGAATGAATACCTCATCCCTATCCCGTAGCCATTTAAGGGTGTGCAGAAATGTATGAATGTACATATATATGCTCATTATATGCTTTATTTATTTATTTATTTATTTGAGAGAGAGAGAGAGAGAGAGAGAGAGCGTGAGCACAAGCCAGTGAAGGAGCAGAGACAGAGGGAAAAGAGAGAATCCCAAGCCGACTCCCTGCTGAGCGCAGAGCCCAACATGGGGCTTATCCCACCACCTTGAGATCATGACCTGAGCTGAAACCAAGAGGCGAAAGCTCAACAGAGTGAGCCCCCCAGGTCCTCCATTTGCTTTATTTATTTATTTATTTATTTATTTATTTGTCAATCATAATACTTACACCATGTGATATAGAAAAAAAACACAGTTTTCACCCCAACTGGACAAAATGGCAAAGACCAATTGTTATTCATTTATTCACTTATTTGTCTATGTTCAGCCCCAGTGTTGTCCTTCAGGCATAGAATGGATGGTACTTAATAATAATCGTAAGTTTACCATTCTCTCTCGTCTCTGCAGGTTTGGTAAAGTCTCGTCCCTGACTCCTGCTGTAGCCTCAGGGGGGTCTTCCCGAGCATCCTTGGGGGCTGTCAACACGAGTCCTCTTGTGCCCTCCGATCCACATTCCATCCTCGTGGTTGACAAACCATGGGCCAACCCTGGCTCTCCGCCTGATTGTGTATTGCCTATGAGCAAAAATGGTTTTGACATTCTTTAATGGAGGGAGGGGAGGAGTCCCAGAGAGAAGAGGAAGATTTTGTGACACATGAAAATCACATGAAATTCAAATCTCAGGATGGGGCCATGTGGTCGGTTAGAGGACGTGGGGGCAGGTGGTGAGTAGCACACGAATGGTTATTATACTTCTCTGTCTTCTTGGGTCTGCTCTACATTCTAGATAATACCATGTTTCTAAAAAAGAAACATGAAAGCCATGGGTGGCTTTCCATCACTATGGGGATCACCTGCGGTGAGCATGGCCCCTCGCCCCCCCACCCCAGGCCCAGCTCACCCCTGTTCTCCACGAGAAGGAGGGTGGGGGGGAGGAATAGCCCAGTGTGCACTTGTGTTCATGATAAAAGACTCAAAAATTGGTGACTTTACAGGACAAACTCAGGGCTCTGAAGACATCTGTCTGTGCTGTGGGCTGTACCTCCATGTGGTTTGAGGAATTCCCTGCGTCCCTGATAATGCATGGCATTCTTACTTCCTGTTGGCTGCTCTGTCCCCACCCTGGGCCTCCCCTCACTCACCCTTGGTGGTCCCACTCTCATCTGAAACTTGCCAGAGTCACCTTTATTTCACGATGCCTAAACATTTTCTGTCATGGGAGCGATGCTTGTCCCCTCCCTCTCCCAATGCAATTGTCACTGGACTTCAGGATGGGGCTCTCTGGGTTTCCCCCTCCTCCTCCTCTCCCTGCCTCTTCTCCGTGTCCTTGAGCCTCATTTTCCCCACCAGCCCTGACGCGAGGCTCAGGTCCTACCCTTTCTTGCTTTCCTCATACATCACAGTCCAAACTGTCACCAGCATACGGGGCCAAGGTCCACATTTCGGTCTGGTCTGCTCCTCAGGGCTCTAGAACCTCATTGCCAAATGCGGAAGCCGTGGGCCAAGTGTAGTGATGGAATGTGGCCAGAGCAAGTGAGAAGCTGAAGATGTGATTTTTTATAAATTTGAGTTCCAGTATAACCAACATACAGTGTTGCATTCGTTTCAGTTGGATTGGACAGTCCCGGGGACCCTGTCCGGTCCTGTCCAATGGCCAGCTTGACATCGCCGCGCAGCTGCCTCGAAGTGTGGCCACCACAGCTCATCGAAAAGCAAATGTATGGCCTTTCTCCCCAGTCCAGTCATCTTCCAGTACTTTCTGTCTCCAAGGATGGCACAGGTGCTCATTCACTCTCTCAAACCAGAGCTCGAGGCATCAAGCTGGACGTTTTCTCCGTCCCCTCTAACCTGTGCTCAGTCCTCTCTGGTTCCCAAATATATCTTCAGACTCCCGGTGTTTTATCCCCGCAAGTGCCTATCCAAAGTCCCACAAGTGCTCATGGACACCCCTGCTTCAAACCCTCTTTACCACCACCCCCAGTCCCTGCCCCACACCCTCTGAGACTCCGCCTCACTGTCTGTGCCCTCTTTGCTCTCCCCAGTACATGCTCCAGCCAAGCCCCAAGGCCCTCTCCTCCATGCGCCACACCACCTCCACATGTTCACATTGGCCTGCGTTCCTAGTGTTCCTGGTGTTACTCTGCAAACCACAGAGCAGGGACTTCTACCCATCCCTGCTTCCCGCTGATTGTTCACAGCCTACCACAGGGCCCAGGACATGGGAGCCGGGTGCACACGTGAATGAACAAGGGAGGGAATTAA